TACCAAAAGTACCACGATAGACCTTACATCTCTCAAAATACATCTGTGGCAAGGTTCTTCGTCTAATCTCCTTCAGGCCTGGAATCAATGACACAATTCGAGAATCAGAGGATGTTGTCACATCAAACTCTGATCTCTGAGGTAGTGCATCTACCTGCCTCAAGGTTCTGATCAGTTCAGTAGTAGTGAACCTTTGTGGTAGTATGTGCCGAAGTGGAACCGGAATTTCCGTCGTCTCTTCCGTTCTTACGGAATTCAGCAAAATTGACTGATGAGCTTCTCTCTCTAACAAAAGAGCTGTTCCACACAAACTTCCAGAGTCAAAGTTCTCCAGAAGATCTTCAATAAGGAAACTCTGACGCTTGTCGGAAGTCTCACTATAAGGAAGAAAACGATTTATCTCAACCAAAAATGAGAACGGAAACTTCTTCCAGTCAGGATCCTTGAAGTACTGGTTGCTTCTAGTGGCTTGCACTGTTTTAGCTTGAAATGAACAGTCACCAATACCTTTCCATCCTTGGCAGGATGCATAGGAATGGAAGACTGTCACGTAACTCATTCCCTTCGGACAATAACAAAAACAATTCATATTCACATCAAAGTTAAAAATCGGATCCTTCAACGAAGAAATGAACTTCTGCAAAAACAAACAAAACTTGTTTCCTTTGGGAACAGTCACAAACACATGTTTCTTCCTTCTCAACTGCCACTCAATCACATTACAACATAGCAACCAAATAGAAGCTCTGTTCTGTTTGGGAGAAGGGTTGTTGATCACTATACAGTGGGGCTGCAATCTCTCCAGTTGCTGCCAAATACCATCTTGACCCTTCATAGTGGGAAAGTTGTATCCTCCTGCCAAGGAATTTATTGAGCAAAAGAATTGGACAGTTTGTTTCAATGATTGGGAGAATCTTGCAGTGATGGCTAGATTGGCACCAGGTGGATATGTCAAGATCATTGCTGGACATGATCAAGAACTTGGTCACTGTGAACAGCGTGATGTAACTTGGGCTATCTACGAGATTTGTTTTGGAGAAACAAGGCCTCGTCAAGATTTCAAGGATGCAGACTTTGAATTTGATGACTATGGTCCTGAGGACAAGCGTGTTCCACTTACTCGAGCGAACATGCATACCATCAGAGTCTGTAATTATCATGTTGATACACACCGTGCTGTGGATGCCCACCTACTGACAGGAGAACAGACAGCATTGATGCTTTATGAGTGTTTTGTCTATGAGGTGGACATCATTTCTGGTGATGCAAATAGTTTGGCCTACAGAATGTCTGGGTACAAAAGGCAGCCAATGGCTAACTACTATTACAGCACCATGCAGCATTGGATCCGCAGGTTTTCAGAAGCTCGTGTAAAAGCAGATCCTGGTATCAAAGCACCTATTCCCAGAACATTTTACAGTTCAACTTCACAGGTCCTCAAGAAGTGTGAAGTTTACTTTGATAAACTCTGGGAAGAATATTCTAATGTTGAAAAAGAAGAATACCAAGGATCACAGCTTGGCGATACATGTTTGTCTACCATTGTTGAATGGGGTCATTCAATGAGTGAAGAGGAATATGAAAATTCCACAGTGAGCACGAAGGAGTTCATCTGTAATTTTTCAGAGAACTTTGCTATGATTGACACGGAGGTTATGTGCTCAAGGCCCACTGACGAGGATAGTCATGGTCCAATGTTTATTTCACTCAGACCAGCTTCCCTTTCATCTGGAGACAGAAGACAGTACCGTATGGGAGCAACGCTTCATGAGGCGAACGTGCGGAGGAAGGAGAGACAGAAGCAGAATAGAAAGAAAGGAAGGCCGCCAACTTCTGATCAAGCAACTTCATCGTTTGCAGCGGCATAATTCCTGAGCGAAGGCTGAAATTTAAATGATGGCTAGGAAGTGAAGATACTTCTGGTTACAGTTGATACTTTGCTTCCAAGCTTGACTTTAAGTTGCCAGGCTGAAGTTTTAATGAATTCTGGTTTGCAACTAGGAGAAACTTTTTATCAAAGAAGATACTCCTGCATTCCAGGTTTATATGCTTTAGCATGTAGATAGGTATGGACAGTTTTACAGAACTGATGATATCTATCACCACCGCTCTGATGAAGTGACCTCTAATGGACAACCAGTCATGGTTGATGATTAAGTCATTTCATGATTTGCAATTGTAGTGCAAGATTTTTTTTGTACATAGATTTGCCGGTATCTCCTTCTTGTGTTTTTGATGTGAATGTGAAAGAGAGTCCTTTTGATGCAGTTTATTTTGTCTGTGAATGAAAGCGGTCGAGACCACGTCACGAGAAGATTATTCCTCGGACCGTACGCTCCTTGCATTTTGCAAGGCATCTTAATTCATTGCAATTTGTGCGGTCTTGAATTTTTAGTTCTGTGTTACGCGAGTGTCGTTTGATTCTTTTATAGGTCTCTGTAGAGAAAAAGCCGCTTTCCCTTTTTAGTTTGATTTAGCTCAGGCCCTAAAGAGCTAGTGAGCGCCGGTACATGGTATCTCCGCCTGCGAAAAGTACAGTCTCCAGCCGAGGTACATTATCGCTTTGATTTTGTACTTGAGGTGAGTCAGCTATTGCTCCCTCACTGTATTTAGTAGCTATGAGATTACCTTCTCTGAAGTGTGAAACACACTGGATTAGGTAAGTACATGGCACCGTAGTTTTCTTTTAAGTTGTCAGAGCTAGCTGGACTGTTTTAGCCTTGCAGTAGAAAAAGAGTATGCGACATACGCAATCAGCTAGAAGTGGACATGAATCTTGTGCCTGCTGAAAAGTAGAGCCTACCTGTACAGGGTTCCACTCCAACAGCTGATATAGTGTGTCCATGCTTGACTGCTTCAAGGCTCAAAGAGCAAGAGGATAAGACTCTGCGCATAAAAGACACTAGCGGTCTGCACCTCTACCGTGTACGCCCTAGTCACTCTTTCACCCCCAACCCCACCCGCGCCACGAAATCTGCACTTCCTCTCCAAAACCCGCGCCTGCCACGAAATCAACATTTTAGTGTGAACTCCCTGCCGCAAAAAAACTCTGCTAACCAACCAACCAACCAACAGCCACCTGCCAGCGGCGCCAGCAGCAACCAACCAACTGACCACAACGTAGCATCCCTTTTGTGGGCCATCCGAGGGTAAAATTTAGAATAGGAAGAAGCCTATTGCAACGTGGCATGCCTTTTGTGGGCCACAGATACAGTTTAGAGTAGGAAAAAGCCATTGCAACGTAGCATTCCTTTCGTGAGAAAAATTTAGAAAAGGAAGAAGCCATTGCAACGTAGCGTGCCTTTTGTGGGCCACCCGAGGGTAAAATTTAGAGCAGGAAGGAGCCATTACAACGAAGCATTTCTTTTTGCGAGCCACCCGATGGTAAATTTTAGAGTAGGAAGGAGCCATTACAACGATTTACAGCGTAGCAGTCCTTTGATGGGCCATTCGAAAGTAAAATTTAGAAAAGGATAGAAAAGGAAGAAGCCATTGCAACGTAGCATGCCTTTTGTGGGCCACCCGAGGGTAAAATTTACAGCCGGAAGGAGCCATTATATATATTACAACGTAGCATGCCTGTTGTGGGCCATTCGAAGGTGAAATTTAGAATAGGAAGGAGCCATTACAACGCAGCATTAGTTCGAATTCGACTTCGAATCGACGATAATTTTTACACCCCGGGGGGGAACCAGTTCGAGTTCGAGTTCGAATTCCAATCGACGACAATTTTGACGCCCGGAGGGGGGGAAACGCAATTCGAGTTCGAGATCGAATTTCGAATCGGCGGCAATTTTGACACCGGGGGGGGGGACCAGTTCGAGTTCGAGTTCGAATTCGAATCGACGACAGCGATTTTGGAGTTCGACTCTTTCTATTCGTCCACTGGGTTGACTTCTATAACAGTTCCAGTTCGAGATCGAGTTCGAGTTCGGTTCCTTCCATATAATATCCTTTCAAGGTTAAGTTCATCAATACTGTATAATGTTTCAGTTCGCGTTCGGGTTCGAGTTCGAGTTCGAGCGGGGCACACTATATATGTTTTCGACGACAGATACGCACTTTGGTCCACCTTCGTTTTCGGCGACAGTTACGCACATTGGAACCAAATTGCGTGACCACCTCACTTTTGAGCGCTTGACACGTACGATCTCCGCGCAGGGGTTCCCTGCAAGGACAACAGAATTCGAAAGTCGCCTCACGTTCGCGCACTCTACACGCACGATCTCCGCAGAGGGTTCCCCACGGCACACGGCGACTCGCATTACCGCAGTTTCGCGCATCTGACATGCGCGATCTCCGCAGAAGGTTGTGTTTCGTGAGCATCGGCCACCCCCCCGCCTTAAGAGTCATTGTAAAGATTTCGATGTTCTAGTTGTGTAGATGAATTTTAGGTGTCTTCACCTATAGATCTTAACACCTGTATCTCAACACCTATGGCCCAATACCTGTATGAAAACACCTGTAATCTCTGTAGATGTGATTTACGAGGTGTTGCCCCTGCATCATCTATGCACTTGGTGATGATGACCTAATCATATCAATCACCTGCATCTGTGCAACTTCACTTCAACATGACGATGACGGTGATGACGGTCAGTCATGATGATGATGGTGGTGATGATGATGATGATGATAACAATAACAGTGATGTCAATGAACATGACGTGCTGATGCTGCTGCTGTTGATGATGATGCTGATGACAATGACACTGCAAGTGATGATGGTGATGATGATGAATCATTAAGCAAATGATGCAAATGATGGTTAGACAGTTGAAGTTCGTAGTCGTTCTTGAAGGAGAACCCTTTCGCAGGTGCTTTCGGGAAAAAAGCAAACCACGCTTTTCAACCAAAGGGCAGCCTTTCGGCATGTGTTTTTTAACAAAAACATGAAACAATCCGTGCTTCCACGCATCCCCAGCACATCAAACAAGCATCCCCAATGTTTGCTCTCTACACCTTTGGGGCTCTCTGCTTCGGTCTCGCATCAAAGGTACTGTGTATTGATCAACAAGTCCACGACCTTCGATGCTCGAAGCTCTTCAAGCATTCGGTTTCGATCTCTCACGCCATTGACCTCCAAGATGACTTGGCCATTCTCCTGTACTGCACATGGTTTTGCCGTAGTGTGGATCTAGGATCCAAAGGGATCCATTATTGATTGAGCAAATTGAGCGGATGTGGCACTATGACTCTATGACTATGACCACCAAATTTCATTCATGATTGATTGGGAGCTCATTCTAAAAGCCAGTCGTCAGCTTCATCTTCAATCTTCAATCAAAGTCCCACCTATACTCTCCTGGATTCCATCTCTCATCGCCCAAATTGAGCTGACCTAAAACCTTGTGCCATATTCCGTTGCATGCGTCAGTAATTAATTAGTTACGTGGCCCTTACGTGCCTCAGATTCCAGCTTACGCGGCAGCATGCAGCAGCTGGAAAACAACAACAGCCCACGCAAAAAGCTTATGCGAACAAACTTTGCAGGAATGTCCACCGTGACAGCTTACCTGAGGCCTCTTTCCTTGCAGCATGGACAGATTCAATACGATGTGGACAAAGCAAACAATGAGGCGCATAACTGAAAACCGCAAGCCATGTTGTTGCGGCCCCATGCTCTGGGCACAAGTAGTTGTTGAACTGAGCGGAAATGTGTGTTCCGTGCTCAGCAACGAGGTCAATGCACATGTGCGCCACTTGCGCATCCCTGCTACACATGAGCTTATGCCTCTGGCGCCCGCTTGCAGTAAGCGCAAAATCATGGTTCATCTAGGAAGGGCAGGTGCAAAAGGAAACAGCGGCTGTTCAAACTGTTCGAATGCCTCAGCAACCTGCTCATCCTGAAACCAAAGGGGTTCACCTGAACCAAAAGTCGAGCCCAAGGCAGGGTGCAAAAGCAAGACTCGGCCAAGAACATGGACACTGGACAACCGGTGCTCCAAAAACGCCTACTCAATCTTACGCAACCTTGCTGATTTTAGAGTTGCTCAATTGAGGCTATGGTGTTTCAATCCGACAGTCAATCAAAACAAGATTGTCATCGTTTGTACTGAACAAGGTGTTGTACTGATGGAGGTGAGACCACTGGGGTAAATTGTTCATCGAGCAAGCTGCGATGGGAGAATGCGGATGCTCGACGTTCCACTGCTTCACTGCGGTTGATTTCTGGACATCAACGATGAGGAGCTCGTCAATGGTCTCATGTCCTGGCACTAAAAGAGACCACACACAACTAAAAGTTAACATGGAAGCTGAAGGAAGATTTAAAAACAAAAACAAGTCAAGTGTGAAGAAAGCTCACTTTACGGCCAATTGCATCATCAGGTTTTGTGTGAGCAGTTCGTACATGTGCGACATCGCACCACTGTGCGTGGTGATATGTGCACTTTTGGAACTTACATTCCCGTTGCTACCGGGAAGAGAGGTTAAGCAGAATCAATCTCCACTCGCTGCTGCGTTGGAGATAGTATAGGTTTAAATATGTTTAAATATATATATATATATATTTATATGTGTGTGAAAACATGGAATCTTCTCCGCACCTGAGCTCTGCTCTTATAAATGGAGGAGGGGGCTGGGCATAAGCTACAGCTTGGTGGTTTCTGGTTTGATTATGTAAAACAAGGGCAGCCCTGTACTTGTAGCCGGTGAGCTTCAAAAATCTGTGCGCATACAAGATCGGAGTCCTTTTTTGAGCAATGGCAACATGTTTGCCTTAGGATGTTTATCACCCTCTTTAATGGTGAGGTTCCCAGAAGCTTGTAGGACTATTTATCAAGAAATCAAGAGGCATTTCAGAGCTACTTCATCATGTCCAATGATCTTCCAGAACTATTTCAGTTCTATCCTTAGAGCTATTTGGTTTTGTATTAGAGCTATTTAAGTGTTGTGCTAGAGCTATTTGGTTTTGTACTAGAGCTATTTGGTTTTGTACTAGAGCTATTTTAAAATAGCTTAGAACTACCTACAAATAGTCAATGGTTTCTATCAAATCTTCTAGAATATTAGCATGTTAGTGACAACCCTGACAGATCTTGGAGTTCCTTCCAAACTTGCACGGGCTGTCTGAACTAGCACAGCATCTTATAGATTTATAGAGTGTTAACTTCACGGCTTTAGGCGTAAAGCTCTGCAACATGCAAGTTGACAAAATTCAGTATCCTGGTAATCACCTGGGGGATGGGCAAACAAACTAGTGATGGAATTGGGTCCTTGCTGGATGTCTTCTAATAATACTGCCTTACAGAATCTGAAAAACTATGCCAGGCCCTGCTGCAAACTTGAAAAGTCATTTTTCTTTGCTATGCGAGCTTTGTGTCGTGACTCTCTCGGCCAAAGCTTAAGGCCAAGTCCTGAGTCCCCCATCTATCGCATCTATTGCCACACACCACTCACCAACAAACAAGCAAACAGCAAACAAAAAGATAACATACATCACATGTCATAGAAACATAACATAACTACTATAACTTCACATACAGTCAGCCCCCTACAGTCTACAGTCAGTAACACATAAACTTGATGCAAACTAGCACCAGTCCCTGTTTTATTCAACATGAACACTTGAACGCAGTGTGTGTGTGTGCCCCACCATCAAAACATCAGGCTGATGCTGATCATCTGATTTGCTAAGGCAAGCCCAGTTCTGTGCAATGCCCTGCACCAAAACATCTAGCCCATCATTGCGTTCAAAAAGGCTCAGCATCGCGCCAAGCTCGTAGTCACTTCCCGGCCTTGCGCTTTCTGCCATTGCCATTGCCTGGAGCCACCTTTGGAGCCTTGGAGGCCTTCTCTGAGTCACCCTGCTTCTGTTGGTTGCCACGCTTACGGATAACCTTGGGCTGACCATCGGCATTGGTGACCATGCGGTTGCGAAGCTCTGTTGGTAGGTCCTGCTTGGACATGCCAAGTGTGGCAATGAACTCAAGGATCTTGTTCAGGCTGCTTGCTCCTGCTTCCTTGGCCTTGTAGTCGTCTGGCTTGTTCACAAAGTCCACGCACACCATCACTGCAAGGACATGTGCACATGAGGAGCGGAACTCCTGCAAAGGGCTTTCAGCAATCACATTTGCGTTTGAAAAGAACATTCCAAGAGTGGAATCAAGAGTCTTGAGTCAAGAGTGACAAGTCATAGAGAGCCAGTTGCGGCATGTCAAATTAATGAACATTTGACATTTGTTTACAAGGTGTTGGAATCAAAGGAGGCGGTCACAACTGTGACACAACAGAAGTTCAACACTGACCACCATCTTGGCAGAACCTACCTATAACATGGAGTGCAAAAAAAATTCAGGAGTGGGAGTCTTTGTTTGTGGAGGGGCAAAACGATGTGACTAGGTCGAGGTTGTCAACCCAGAATTGCAAGATCTCCAACACTATGTTGTTTTTTATTCTGCTGAAAGCAGACCCTACCACTGGCCTCAACAGTCTTCAAGAGCTCTTTCAGTTGAGAGAGCTCCCCAGTAGTAGCACCGTACTTGATGGTGATCAATGACCTGATGCAGCCAACCTGCTGCCCCAAGACATCTCGGTATTCTTGAAGTTGATCTGAGTCCTTCTCGGTCTTCTGTGATGTCGTCTCATCATGAGGCGTGAAAATCCATTCCACACCATCAAAATCCCAGCTCTCAGCAGCAGCCACCACTGGCCTGCAAAACAGACCAAAATTCTGACTTTGAACCTTGACAGAATTCACTTCAACGAATTGAATCAGGTGGGAATTGATGGCATTGAAGCATTGGGCCATTGCCCATGAACATTGAATATTTAGAAGTCTGAGTCTGATCCAGTTCTCAATGCTAAAGTGAAAATGGTGGCGACAAAAACCAATCAAGCAGACAAACAAACAAACACAAACAAGTAACAAACAGAACACAAACAAACGAGTCGAGTCATGGTCTTAGTCGTAGTCAGTCAGTCTAATTTGCAGGATCCAATCAAATCCTTTAAAAAAGTGTGCAACGGCAAAACTGAATCCTAGTGAGTGTCAAGTGCAAAACTGCTGCCTGTATGGATCCAAGAGTGCAAGGGCTCCTGGGAGGTCTTTCTCAAGGGAGGTCAGCCACATCTTGACTGCTTCCTTGAATGTGTCAATGAACTTCACGGCAATGTCGTGCTTCTCTGGAAAGATCTCCTTGAGGAATGACATGTTCAGCTCACCCAAGGAAGTGAACTGAGACAAGAATGGGAGGATCTTTGGACCATCGACCTCCAAGTCTTCTGCGTTGTCATCGCCCTGCAAGGGCTTGCAGTCGAAGGATTTCTCTGTGATGTCGTTCCCCTTGGACACTGTGACCAACAGCGTCTGCAAATTCTTGGGAAATGGCTCACTGCTGAAGTCCTTGTTCAGGCTGTCAACAACTTCCTGGAAATTGTCAGAATGCTGCACGAGGTGCTTAATGTGGATGCGAGCTGCATGGCCAATGAATGCCTTCAATCGCTTCACAGCCTCTCCAATGCTGGAGATGGCTCCAATGCCCTGGCCCTGGCCTGATGGAAGAGAGTCGGTGACGCTGAACAATTTCTGCCACAGCTTGAAGCCATCAACAACTGAAGGACTTTCAGCGACAGTGGCAGAAAATGCCAAAAGCTCCTGTGCAACATCTGCCGCAGCCAAACACTGAGCCCGCTCTGTTGAAGGCAATTCTGGCTTGGTGTAGCACACAGCGTAGCCTTCCAGCGGCTGCAGAGGAATGTGGGAAAGGGCTGGAGAGGGTGCAAAGTTACAGTCAAAATTCTACTATGAAGTCCACTGAAAACCGTTTGAAACAGTGCGTTGGTAGGTAACTAGGCAAATTAATCTGGTCAGTCAAAGCCCAAAGCTGAAGAAATGTGCAATTTGCAACCCCAGAAATCCCCAGTGCCAGTGACAGAGAAGATTCAGAAGAATCAGAATAATAGGGAATCAGTAGCAGTAGTTGTGTTTAATGTTCGTTCATAGAGGTTGGCTGCCCACCAGTAACACCCTTTTCCAACCCTGACACGCTCTAAAACTCCAAGTGTTGGACAATGAAACCCTGCTTGCCTGTCCACTTGCACTCTGAAAAAACATGCATGTCACACGCGACCTATGCCGATGTCTGTCAGCAGGTTCCCTCGCCTGCATAGCACACTGGAACGAGAATCCCTCGCAGAACATCTGTCTTGTCAGTGAGGTTGAAGTTGGCGTCCACCATGTTTCCCTCATTGTCTCTTGAAGGTTGCCACTGCTTGGCCATGAACTCCACAAAGGTCTGGAAGCTGCCTTCATATCCAGGCACTTGCTCATGAAAAACCCTCGCTGCAGTGGAGAGGTCCTCCTTGAGGGAGGTGTCATTGGTATCACTTGACTCTTCCAGGAGTTGCTGGCAGTCTGGGAGAGCAGCAAGAGCTTTGAATTTTGCGGCAACTGCTGTGCTCATGGGCTCCAGCTTGCTCATGGTCTTGGTGACCTCCTTCAGGGTGCTGACGAGATTGAGACACTTTTGCTTGGCTTGCTTCAAATCCAGAACGCTCTTGGACACGTCCACTGCCCTTTGCCAAAGGTCCCTTGCAGGGCATTGTCTTGACAGAATGGTTCAGAATGGTTACATGGGATGGTTGCCCTTGACACTAGACGAAGAAAGCAAGTCAAGAGTGAAAGTCAAGAGTCAGAGTCAAGTTGCAATTGCCACTTCTGATTCAAATGATTCAAGCAGGCAACAGGGTAACATGGTTGGCTGGACAGTCGCATTGGGAAGTAATTGAAAGAACTGAAAAAAACAACAGCTAAAAGATCAAATGGTTAATGCCTCTTGGACTCCTGAGTTCTGTGATATGATTTGATTTGATCCATAGTTTGATGAGATCACTGAACACAGTGCCATGTTCCGTGGTTGTAATTTCAATATCCTTTTGGGTGGCGCTAATCTTCAATCTCTTTTGTTGAATCCCACCAAGCCAATTTTACCCCTCAAAAATGACCTGAACCACTGACCACTGACCAACAACCCTACCTGAGAATGGCATTGGATTTGAACACCAATGATGTCCGGGCAGAGAAGTTGCTGGAGCCAGAGATGATCTTGAGCTGCATTTTCTGGTCGTTGCTGAATGACGGACAACGGGAAACCAAGGAAACCGCCAGAAACTTTTGGAGCTCCAGCAAGGTCTTCGTGTTCAATCCAGTGTCATTGGTGACACTGCTGTCCTCGCACACCCAGGAGAAGGTAGAACTGGATGGAATTGG